TGGGACTCACACTGGGCAGAGGGACCTTGTGCAAAGAGCAGAAGCTGCTTGGCCCAGGGGCCCAGCCCCCAAATAATGACCGAAGGCCTCATCATTCACTAGCCTCCTCTTCTTCCTCAGGAGAGCACCTGGCCATACCTGTTTGGAGTGATTGCCATCCCTGCCTTGGTCCAGCTGGTGAGCCTGCCCTTTCTCCCCGAGAGCCCACACTACCTGCTCTTTGAGAAGCATGACTGGGTGGGAGCTGAGAAAGGTAGGGGGCCCTTAGCCTGGCCCATGCGGCCCCAGCCTCTTCACGGGGGTCAGCACTGCAAGGTGTGCTGGGACCAGGGCCACCCCTCTCTGCGGGGTTCCCTAGGACACCCTGATCCATTTCATCTTCCCAGCAGCCTGCTGTGGGTGGCCCTGGGAGGGGACAAAGATCAGCATCAACTGAAAAAAAAAAAAAAAAGCACAACGTGAGAGCTGTGAGTTAAGTTTTATTTAGGGCCAAATTAGCACTATAGCCCAGGCGACAACCTCTCAGATAACGCTGAGGAACTGCTCCGAAGAGGAAGGTGAGGTGGTCAATATATATGTGATTTTGGTGAAGGGGGATGTGTGCAGTCAAGCACACATTTTGGCAGAAGGTTACTGCTGGTCATAAGAAGGTTGTGTTGCAGAAGTAGGGAAACAAGAGAAAGGTCACATCCCAGGTCTCAGGTGAGTGAGTCCCTGGGACAGGCTGCCAAGTGAGGGGCCTTGGCTTTGTGCAGCAAAGAGTGAGCCAGAGTAGAGTCAAAGGGAGTTTATTTAGAGAGGTACATGTTCCGTGGCAGAATGTGGTCCATCTCAGAAGGGGAGAGTAGGCCCTGGTGTGGAGGTGGTTAGTTTTTATGAGCCAGGTAATTTCATATGCTAATGAGCGGGAGGACTATTCCAACTATTTTGGAGAAGGGGTGGGGATCTCCAGGAATTGGGCCACCTCCTACTTCTCTGCCTTTTATGGTCAGCCTCGGAAGTGTGGGAGGGCTACTTAGCAGCTAATGTATTGCAATGAGTGTATAATAAGGCTCCAGGTCTACAGAAAGTTAAATCTTGGGCCTACATGGTTCTAACCAGTATTTGTCCAATCCTCAATGGCCATGTCGTTCTTTTAACAGTTGTGTCTGTCCCCTTCCCTCCTGTCTCATTTGCTGCTAGTCACAGGGAGCAGATGTCTACATTAATGCTTCTAGTGCTTTTCTAGATATGATGCAAGACATTGGGCTCATAAAATCTCCTCCTGGAAGTCTCTAGCTACCTGAAGGACCGCTCTGCCAGTTTTCCCGGAGCAGAGGGCCTCATTCCTGACCTCCACCCTGAGCTCCTCTCAGGGTGTGTTAAAGGTCAGAGGCAACAGTGGCTAGTGACTTCATTCCTGTAGAACCAGATGGCAAGTAACAGTTAGTGACAGGGAGTCTGGAAAAGCTAGGACAGAGCAGGAGAAGATCCAGGTCACTTCATGTCTGTCCATCGCCCCTCTCAGGTGGTCCCAACCGCAGAGACGCTGCAAACCCAGACTTCTTAGCAGTGTAGGTCTTTTCGGGCCCTCTTTCCACTCTTCTCTTCCTTACTAACCAGCTCTCCCATCTTAACATTAACAGCAAGGAAAGGGGATACACAGGCACAGAATAAGCACTCACATCACACTAGCACGGGGCCTCTGTACCAACGCCCACCCGAATGTTCCCATCAGCCCTGCAGGGAAACAGAAATGTACCCGTTTTACAGGAGGGGAACAGGAGGCCCACGTGGGGCTTGGCAGTCGCCTTGTGTAGTTTTCCTTAAACTCCCTGAATGGGGAGGTGCTGGGCCAGTTCAAAGCACAGCTCTAAGAATCAGAGGCATTTCTATACAGCCCAGAAAAGCAAAGTCATTTTGCCTGGAGATAGAAATGTAGAATGAACAACAGAATTCCCATCCTTTTAGTTTTATAAAACAAGACACGGTCAGCAGCACCTTGGTTAAGCATGAGGACTCAGAATAGTAGTGCTACCTTCACATCCCGGCTCTGCAGTCTGTCCTCGGCCAATTCTTTTCACCTCTCTGATTCTCAGAACCCTCGTCTATAAAAAGGAAATGATATAAACATCCCCCATGGGCTTGTTGTAAGGATTAAATTAGATGATTATATATATATGTGGTTCATAGTGCTATCTGCTGTCATTATTACTGAAGACTCTGTCCATTTCCCTGTTATCCATATCCTGTCCTCTAATCTAAATTTCACTAATGTCCACATCCAAGAAAAAAACTGAGAATTATATGAAGTCCTTTATATAATTTGTGCAACATATTTTAAAATCCAAACAACCTCGGTATTTTCTGAATTAACCAAAGTCATGATGAAATGTTAGTAGCCGCCTGTGTTTGTCTGGCAGTTCGTGGTTGGGATCTATTTTCTCATTTACAGCACGTCTAGAATGTGAAGTCAGAGAACAATATCGTTGCCTTTATTTTCTGGATGAAGAAACAGAGGCTTAGAGGGGTGAAGTGCCTTCCCCAGGGCTGTGGTTATGTGGTTTTTGGTTTCTACAGGCCTTTACAAATTGGTGGAGATGACAGAGCTTTCTTCAGTCGAGGGCCCACATACACAACGTGTGCGGAGCTTGGTGGTGGGGTGGAACGTGAGCCTGCTCTCTCAGAAGCCCGCAGGGGACCCTGGTTAATGACCCCTTCCCCATCTCACAGCCGCAAGTGACAAAAGAAGGACTGGAACCTGAGGGTGATTTTCCGCCCACCACCCTCACGCGTAGAGGGACACCAGAGGGTAACGTTTGAGGGGGGTTTCCCCTGGGGCCCATGGGGAGGCAAACCATCCAAAACTCAGGCTTGATTCTCAGAAGGTGGAGGTTCTGGAGTTAAAACAAAGCGGCTGAGGAAGAGCTGAGAGGATCTGATTCCCAAAAGCACCTGGCTTACGGGCTGTTGGAAGACAGCTTTTCCTCCAGCTCCATCTCTCCTGGCGCGCGAGATGCCCGTCCACCCATCTGGCTCCACACGGGAGGAACTCTTGGGAAACGCTCCAATTAAGTACAGTTGGAATGGGCAGAGCATGCAAATACCAGACAGCAAAGAAGATTTAAAAGATTCATTTCGCAGCACAGCAGTGAGTGAGAGAGAAGGCCAGTTGTGGGAAAAAAATGATAAATATTGCATGTGCACTTTATAAAAAGAACAATGTTGGCCTTAGATCAGAATAGAATTTTGGAATCTGCATCTGTCCTAATGAAAGTGCTCATGTCACTCCAGGCATCCGGCAAACAATGGCTATTTACTGTGCTGGGTGTTGTGCCCAGTGATGGGGAGAGGGGAGCAAACACTGGCCTTCCAGCCCTCCAGGAGCTGAGGGGGGCATCTGGTTAAGGCAGATGGACACACTCCTCATCAATAGCTCATCTGCATCAAGAACTATTTATTTCATCCTAAGAACTTCACGTGTATTAGATTGTTAATCCTTCACAACAACCATGGAAAGTAGATCACATTATTATTTCCATTTTCAGACCCCAAAAAATGACGATGGGATAATTTGACCAAGGACACAAAGTTAGCAAATGGCAGCACTGGGATTTGAACTCTGACAGTCTTGCTCTGGAACCTTTGAACATAAATAAAACACTTTATTCTCTAGCACTTGGTTTGGCATGGTGGGAGATATACCTTGCCTAGTCTGTTGGTAATTTGGTGGACATGCCCTGTAGCAGCTAGCTGTTGCCATAATGATGCTGCATAACAAACCATTTTGGAACTCACTGGCTTAAGACAGGGACGCTTATTGTTCCCAAGTCTAGGGGTCAGCTGTAAGTTCTCTTAACCTGGATAGGGCTCGCCCTTGCAGCTCTTCTGGTCTCACATGTCTGGGGGTCAGCCGGCTGATCCAGGGTGGCTCAGCTCTGCTCCACGTGCCTCACCCCCAGCAGGCTAGCTCAAGCATGTTCTCCTGGTGAGCACAGAGGTCCCAGAGAGGGGAACTGAAAAGCAGTTCTTCAAGTTTCAAAACAGCTAAAATACTGCAGGCTAGAGTAAGTCACAGAGTCAAGCCCCAGAGTCGGAGCGGGAGGGGCTACGCAGTTACAGAGCAAAGGGCAAAGACGCAGGGGAGGCCGCGATGGGGGCCGTCAGCGCAGTCAGTCCACACCACACGCCCCTTCCCGCTCTCCCACCCCTCCCCACCCCCACTTCAGAGTGGCCAGGGGTGCAGTCCCAGACCTGGGTCTGATCTATTTGTGCCCTCCTGCCAGTGGAGAAGCCCCCAGCATCTCTAAAAGGGGAAAGAGCCCAAATCTCCACTGTGAGAAGCGGTGGTTTGTTTAATTGAGTGGAAGTGAAGTATTAGCACAGGGAATGTGATAAGGCAACACCTCACACATCGGGGGCAGAGAAGCCGCATCTGTCAGGGCCCTTTAGGGTGTAAGAGACAGAGACTCAAACAGCATAAGCAAAAGGGAAACTTCTGAAGACGGCAGAAGGGGCCAGGAGCCGAGGAAACGCAGGCAGCGTCTAGAAGCTGGAAAAGGCCCGGGAATGGATGTCCCTCTAGAGCCTCCAGGAGGGGCAGAGCCCTGCCGACACCTGGATGTCAGCCCAGCGAGGCCCACTTTGGACCTCCGACCTCCAGAACTGTCGAGTGAGTCTCACTGTTTTAGCCCCTCTGGTGATTTGTTTGTGGTGATTCATTAGAGCAGCACAGGAAGCTCATGCCTCATGTCAAGGAAGGAAAATGAGTCATGGTTGAACTCGGACTTCACCTTCATTTTAAATATAGTTTGTTTTATTTACTTGAAATCTCAAAATTGTTGGACATTCCGATTGCTTCTAATTTTTATTTATAATAAATAATGGAGTGAAATGCCTCTGTGCATGAAAGCTTTCAAAGCTTTCTCTTGCCAATACACCATTTTATTGCTATAACGTGTCAAATGCCTTCTCCACAACAGGTGCTTTGCTTTCATAATCTCCGATATCACAAATCTCCAGAACCTCAGAGCCCTCAGACAGAAAATCAGAGAGGCTGGTGGAGACAGAAATAAGGTTTAAAGTCAGCCAAACACACTCCAGTCCTGAGTTCATTACAGGGCAGGGTGCTGCCTTGAGTGTGTGCTTATAATTATGACACATTATGTACATACAGACAAATATATTAGCAAGAGATCATTGCCCCGTTGGTTGCTAGGTTTAAGGCTCAGAAAATGTCCACTGCAATATTGTGATTTTTCTATATTTGAGCCA